TTGTTGCCAGTTCAGAGAGTCCAGGTGGTTGAGTATCAGAGTGTTCCATCTCATTTCCCTTTGGGGTTGCTGTAGGTGATCTGGAACTCTGTTTTTGAGGCTTGCTTATGTGTTTTCTCATTTCCACAGGGTGGGGGGTGCTTCTGGCGCCCATGTGGCTCACCTTCTGTGCCCTAGGAGCTTGGGATGACGGTGGGGGAGCTTCCTTCTGGGTGCTGGGACTGGCTGAGCTTCTCTGCCCTAGGGGCCTGGGATGGAGGCAGGGAGCTTCCTCAAATTGTCAGAGTATTAAGAAACAAGCTCATATATTAGTAGGTGAAATCAGCATGTTGCAAAACAGCCTGTAATGTAAGATCCCATTTAAAAGTAAGTTTAATATATACACCTAAAAATATCTAAGACCAGGCCAGGGATATGGCTGAGCAGTAGAGCGCTTGCTTAGTGTGTGCAAGGCCCTGGGTTTGATCCCCAGCACTGCCAACAAACAAACAAAAACGAAAAGCCAAAAACAAAAAACCAAGACAGTGTTTCTTATTTGGAGGAGAGTCAGGAGCCTGAGAACAGATTGAGAGTTATAAAACCCAAGACTACAATTTTAGTGGGTACAAGGGCTCCCTGTCCCTAAAGCACATTGACCAATCCAGGGGAAGAAACACCTATCTGGAAGAACCCAACCGAGGAATACCAACAGCATGGTGTCTAGGTGGGTGGAATCACAGGTGCTCTTTATGAATTGCTTTTTGCTTGGCTCTACCTTTTCCTCACTGTTATGAGCACTTATTACTTACAAATAAAAGCTAACAAAAACTGGATTTATTCCAAACTCTAAATCCCTAAATCATTTTAGCCAGCTTTATCTAGTTGGCAATGTTTTTGGAAAACTGCAGATTGAAAATGAAAGCAAACGTTTCCAATCACCAATTAGTGAGGAAACTGCAGCCCAAGGAGGTCAGGTGAGCTATCACTCATGTCCTTCCCACCAAAAGCCTCCTGCTGCCCTCTAAATCAGCAATGGCAGGAAGTCTCAAGCATCCTGACATGTCTCATTTATCCTGGACACTCCATTCCACTGGCCTAGTTAGTGAGGATTCAGGAAAGCGGAGAGAGCTGTCCGACCAGGCCACCGCCATATCCCTTTGCTTTCTGGGAAAAGCACACTGGGTTGCAGATCAGATGCTCAGAACCGCTGGCAGAAGTCCTGTTGTTGCATCAGAGCCAGGAGACATCAGCCCACTTTGCAAGTCTGCTGTTGGCTGATTCTGCTCCATGGCATTTACTGTGCCATTCCTGCCACTGGAGACATTTCCTTGGGAACATCCAGGTCATGTCCTCAAGTCTTCCACGGACACTTCCTCAAGGCTGGCTCTAGCTTGCTCAGAGCCAGGTGGAAGGACTAGGGCAACTCCAGGAGCCTGGCTGCAGGAGACCAGTTTAAAACCACACTGAGCAGGCTTTAAATATTATTGATCTGGTTTATAATTTGGCTATTAAGTAAAACTATGAGTCACTCCAAGGCCTAAGTGAGAATTGCTGATTGACCTTTCGGCTGGTGTTGGGAGATAGACTTCCCTGTGCCAATAGCCACAATTGAGGTCTCAATGTATCGATGAGGTTGTGAGTCTCTATAGCAAGGAACACTGGAGCTGAGGAATTACAACTCTGTGCAACCATTCTCAAAGATCAAATGTTAGCTAAGATAATGCAGGTGGCTCATTAGCTATGATCTATAAGATAGCACAGGTGGCTCATTAACTGTGACCTGTCCTTCATGAGTATACATAGTTACTCCCCTTTTCCCAAGCCTGGCTCATTAAGTGCATTAGTTCTGCTGTTCCTTAAATGTGCCTTCATGCCCTCTTGTTGTACAATCATAAATACTGACTGATCTAGAGCTTGGGTTTTACCCATGA